GACTTCCTGAAAGCCGGGTGTGAAACAGCTTTGCAGCCCTGCTCGTATGGCGTGTAGCAGTGGTCCAGGAGTCTATCCCCCTTGTCGGGCACATAACATGCTGATAAAGGTTTGGCATGTCTGAGGTTTGCTTTGTTAAAGTCTCCCGGTTCACTGAGGTACCTGTGTCAGCTTGGGGAGGGATGTAGACCACTGGGCAGGTAAAAAGAGCTTAATGCTCAGGTATTCCAGATAGGGCGAGCAGCCGCTGGAGAAAATAAAAATGCTCCTGGCGTCGCACCACTTTCTGCTTACCATGAGACACTCCTCCACCTTTAGTTTTATTCAACTCTGCCGTTCTGTCCGGAGCACTGAGAATGAATCTGACGGAGTTACGGCACGGTCCGGCACGGTGGGGTCAGCCATGTCTCCGTGAAGCACAGAATGTTGCAGTCCCTCACGTCTCGTTGGAAGGTGATTCTTAGGTTGTCCAGCTTATTTTCCAGCGATTGTACATTGGCCAGCAGGATACTGGGCAGGGGTGTGCGGTGCACTTGCTGTCTCATTCTGTTTCGGATGCCAACGCATTTCCCCCGCGCTTCTTTGTTCTTCACCTGAGCGTCCTGTCCATTGTTGTTGTCCGTGCTGCGTAGTATCTCAGTTGGCCAGGACCGGTCAGCTTTGAAAGTGTCCAAGAATACATGTGCAAAGTTGTTACCGACGTAAACTATAAAACCAGAAGACTTGGGAATGTAAAACAAAACAATAAATAAGTAAACAACTAAAAAAGTGCATAGTCTGTGCGGAGCGGTCAGAAAGGCATCTGGACGTAGCCGCACCATTTTTCGGTCATTCACCTCCAACTCCTAGTGCAAAAGACGAAAAGGTGAGAAAGTAATTCAAAGAGGGCAAAAGAATAGTAAACACGTTAGCGACTATACTAATGAGCTAAGTTCAATGATCCAGCGCTAACTGAAGCTCGACACAGCATTAAGTAGGTACGTCTAAGACATTCTACTTTTAAATACTCTAGGAACAACAAGTAGGCCTGCAGTGTGAGAGCGAAGTGCTCTAATAGGGTGATATGGCACTACAAGGTCATTAAGATAAGATGGGGCCTGATTATGTAACCCTTTAAAACTTAAAAAGGTCACGGTTTCCTTCCACATATAGCTTTGCAAAAATTGCATAAAAAGCACTTGCAGCAACAAAAACATTATATTTCAGAAACACCCTTTGCCGATCCGATCAGCTGTTCGCAACACTTCCTAGGTTGGAATAGATGTCAGCGTGAGTTATCGTATGTCCGCTATTACCTGGCCGAAACCGGAAGTGACGTCATTTTCGCAGAAAAAATGGACAGACTAGAGCCGTGGAGACCTGGCTTGTATGCTCTCACTCTGCTAGCGACAAGTAAAGGTCTGTTGTTCTGTTTAACTGACTGGCCTCTGAGTTGCAGGCTAACCTCCACACCACATGCCTGCTGGACCTGCTAGCTGCTCCTTCCTCGCCAGACCGCCGTTACAAGTTGTTAATCTGCTGTCATCTAAAGGGGAGCAGTGTTTGCTGCAGAACTCTGAAAACACACAAGTACACATGATTATAAACAGCAACTAAACCAAATTTTGATTGAAGTTTATGACTCTTTTAAAGGCCCACTGTCATACAGGAAACCTGTCACGACACATATGATCTTTGTCCTGCAGGTCCTGTCAGGTTTCCTCTGACTCATGCAGCCAATCAGGAGTTTTCATAATGAGATCAGTCTGCTGCTGTGATGTCCGCTGAGCTGAATGGTTTAAAGAAGCAGAGTCTGAGGGTGTGTGTATGATTTACATGCTGCTACCCTGTTTCACACAAAGGATTTTATATGTTGAATATAATGTTTTTTATGTCAGTGACTAAATATGATTCATCTGCATTTAATGTGTTGTATTGATGCTTG